AAACTACAGACGATATCTGTAATCCTTGCCTTTTTTATACTTTTTTATGTTTTTAGTTTTTTAACTTTTATTTGTTTATTTCTTGGTGTGGGCACATGCCACAGCATGCATATGAAGGTTAGACAACAACTTTCAGTGATCAGTTCTCTCCTTCCATTGTGTAGGCTCTGGGGATCGAACTCAGGTCATCATCAGGTTTGGCAGCAAGCATTTATACCCACTGAGCCATTATGCCAGCCTTAAGCAGGCCCTGCCTTGACCTCTCTTGGGTGATATAAAAGACAGACATGAAAAAGGCCAAGGTCCTCCAGAGGGGGAGGGGCAGGAAGCTCAAAAGCAAAGGCAAATAGGTGGGATGGTGTTATTTGCCCCAGGAAATGACACATCCTCTCTGAACCTCTGTCTCTTCATCTCTCCTGACTTCTTTACACTGCCTTCCTTGTGAGAATCATAGAAGTAGCCTGCAATGAAGAATCTTGAGAAATGACACACAGCTTTAAGATCATATACCAAGAGGAGAGAGCTATGCGCAGGGTCCATGTTAGGAGACAGTTGTTTTGACCTTGCTCCCATCGGAGCCTGGGACCAGGCTATCTAAGGGGAGAGAGCCACATCCCCAGACCATCATTATGAATATTTTTGAGGCAGGGTCTCTATGCCTAAACTGGCCTTGAACTCATGATCTTCTGCCTCCATCGCCTGAGTGCTGGGATTACAGGCTTACACCACAGCACCCGGCTTGCTACTAGCATTTGTGGGAGATGGATGTCTGCCTGGCTGTCTTGTTCACCAATGAGTTCGGCTATCTTACCTTTTGCATACAAGTAAGTACTAGGATGGGGCATTGGTTGGTTGTGGTCTGAGTATACAGATGCCGTGGCTTACTGACTGCTGAGCCCTTCATCACCACCATCATCACCACCATCACCACCACCATCATCACCACCATCGCCATGAACACCGTCATCATCATCACCACCATTATCACCATCATCTTCTCTCCTCTTAGATAGCCTGGCCCCAGGCTCTGCTAGGAGCAAGGACAAAACAACTCTCTCCTAATATGAACCCTGCGCATAGCTCTCTCTCCTTGGTATATGATCTTAAAGCTGATGTATCTATTAATACGCTCTCAATGTCCCCAAATCCACATGGTTCACCCCATTATCACCCCTTTCAGCACCCTACATCATGTCTGGATGTGGAAGAGGAGGAGGAGGTCGATGCGGGCTTCTTAGGCTGAGGCTAAGGCTGAGTCCTGAGGCTGACTGAGGTCCTGGTTCCCTACCTGAGTTATTTGGTAACAGACCTGTGGGACTCTCAACACTCCCAGCCCTATCTCTACCTGTTCCCTCCCTTCTACCCCATAGCCCTCAACTCAAGGCCTCTGTCTTCCACCTAAGGCTTTGCTCCCCAACATACATCCTGGAGCCTTGGTCCCCTGAGACTCTTTCCTGCCTCAGGAGGAATCAGGAACTATATCTGCACCTCTAATCAGTTGCTTCCCAGACCTTGTTGTCATAGGCGCAAAGAGGAGTTCTCACACCCACACACACAGAGCCAGTCTCTCCACTCAGCCCTCAGCTGTTTCCAACAGAGGGGGCCTTCCCAGGCACACTAGAGGCCCTCAGCCAAGTCAAGATGAGCTGGAAGTGATGGTGTGCACCTGTAACCCCAACACTCAGGAACATGAAGCAGGAGGATTGCTGAGTTCAAAGCTAGCCTGGGCTAGATGATGAAACCCTCTCTCAAAAGGCAAAAATAAGGTTAGTTGTGGTGGCACATGCCTTTAATCCCAGCACTCGCACTCAGGAGGCAGAAGCTGGCGCATTTCTGTGAAATCAAAGCCAGCCTGGTCTGAGTTCCAGGTCAACTGGAACTGCAGGAAGACCCTGTCTCAAAACAAACAAACAAAAGATAAATAAAAACACATCAAAAAGAGAAGAGATGGCTATTTCTGACAACCCACTACGGTCCTTCCCTCCCAGCCAGGACTGCCGGTTTTCAAAGGTTGGAAAGGCCTCTGAGCGGGTACCAAGAATGGGAACAGTCAAAAAACATTGTTTAAGTAACCAAAAAGCCCCCTTATCCTGCAAGGGAGGGCTGGAGAGTGAGAGGTAGATATCAGCTGTCCTTCCACCAGCCTGCTCTACATTTGGGCCATCAGCTGCCCAACCACAAAGCTAGTCCATTTCCTCTCTTTACAGCCTTCCTCGGTGGTCCCTCCCTTAGCACCCCAAGCCAGAAGGACATTGTATCACACATCTCCAACCCAATGACAGGCCCCCTCTCCTGCAGAGAGAAGTACAGAGACCAGCCACCTGCAGCTCTGCCCAAGGCCCTAGAGCAACAGGCTGGATCTCACTCACCCAGAGACACTGAAGACGTAGCAGTGGTGGACACCCCAAGCTGGAGAGCCAACAGCAGGGTCCAGGTCACCAGCATCTCCCAGGGAGTGCGCCCCTGGCTGTAAGATCTTCCTTCCTCAAGAAGACTGAGAAATGAGAGCTTTCACAGAAGAAGCTTCTATAAAAAGGACCCCAGAGACCTTTGCCTTGGGGGAGGACCGTGTCTGGCCCTGGGTGGGGGTGATGTGATGGTCTGAGGTGGGTGGTGCACAGTGACCAAGGGGAGTTGGCAAAGGGCAGCCTGTCAACTCTCTTCCTCTCTAATTCAGGGTGTGTTGACTTCCCCCAAGCAACAGTCAACGAAAGGGAGAGTCACTGTGTGGGTGGGGCAAGACCAAGGAAGGAACAAGAGGTACCTGGAGGTGTTGAGATTCCTGAGAAAGTAGCCACAGAACTCAAGGGTGTGGTAACCATAGAGGGGACAACATCAGGATCCCAGAGAGGGACAGTCTATGACAAGCCAGACTAGATACCAGAACCTTCCTCAGAGTCCAGAAACCCTTCTTTCTTGCAGCCTTCCTTCCCCATTGCCCACCTCAAGCTGGCCCCTTCAACATTCCCAGTACTTTCCTGTTGGGTGGGTACTCCCATCTGAGACTTTACGGTCTGTTCTCCACCCCTGGCCAGTATCAGAGGTGAGGAAGGCCCATGGCAGTGTCCCTGCCCAAGGCCAAGCTCCAAGGAGCCTCTCCAAAACCCCCCACGCAAAGAGCCACAGGAACAGAATATTCCCAACTCTGCACGTCCCAGGCAGGTTAACAGTAGGAAGGGGAGGGACTAAGCCTACCCAAACAGACACTTATGCTTGTGAGTATGTATTTGCAAGAAGAGGTTGGGATGGCTCGTGGTCTTTGAGGAACCAGATTCCTAGGACCAATGAGAGAGCTCAGTAGGTAAAGAAATCTACCACCAAGCCTGACAACCTGAGTTCGGTCCTCAGAATCCCATGGTGGAAGGAGGGAACCAACTCCTGCAATATGTCCTCTGACCTTCATACTTGTATGTTCTCTCTCTCTCTCTCTCTCTCTCTCTCTCTCTCTCTCTCTCTCTCTCTCTCATCTATCTATCGATCTCTCTCTCTCTCTCTGATCGATCTTTCTCTCTCTCTCACTAGGGGTCTAATTCCTTCCAAAACTCCAGCTCTAAACTTCCATAGTCACAGACTGCAAAACTCAAGGACCCCCCTCCACACATTGCTAATGGAGAGACTTCCCTGCTCCCATCTATTAGCTAATGAAATGGGACACACACACGCACACGCACACGCACACACACACACACACACACACACACACACACAAGCCCTAGACACAGTCATGGCCCTAAGCATGCTCCTCCTCCCTGGGAAAAAAGGATGCTCCCAGCCCCTCTTACATCTCAACGTGAGGTCTCTCTTCTTCAACCAGAAGCAGACCACTGGGGGTCGGGGGGTGAATAAGAAAAAGATGCACAGACAAAGCAGTTCCTTTTTACAATAAATGTGTTTATTGTGGTCACTTGGGGAACCAGATATTCATTGATTTCCTGTCTCCAAATCTTTCCTGGCAAAGGAAGTTCCAGGCTCAAAGGTATCAATAGGGTGACACCAGGGAAGGAGAAGGGAAGCAGGAGAGGGTGGGAAGGAGGTAGTGAAGATGAGGAGGGAAGGGAGAGAGGGGAGAAGGCATAGGGGAATGAGAGGGAGGATGTCTCACTTCTCCTCACCCTAGGAGAGCTAGGGGACTCATACCCCACACCTGCCTGTAGAGATTTAGCAATATGGTAGAGGAAGAAAGACGTGGAGCCTCGGGATTGGGGAATCAGGCTTGGGGAACATAAATCTGGGACCCTATGACACCCTGACCCCAGGAAGACCCAGGAATGGAAGGGATGTGGGAAAGATGTAGGATTTAGGGCTAGGGACTGGGATAGGAGAAAAAGTTTCAAGTTTGTGGGTACCAGGATGGGGAAACAGGAACACAGAAACTGGAAGAGTTGAGTGTGGCAGTGTGTGTCTGTGATCCTAGCACTTGGAAGATGAGGTGAGAGAATCAGGATGTCAAGGTCAAGGTCATCCTTGGCTACCTAGAGAACTTGAGGCCAGACTAAGTTACATGAGACCCTGCCTCAAAAGATAGAATAGAAAAGAAAAGAAAAGAAAAGAAACTTGAAGCCTGGTGGGTAGCACACACCTTTAATGCCAGTGCTTGAGAGGCAGAGGCAGGGGAATCTCTGTGAAATGGAAGCCAGCCTGGTCCACATAGTGAGATCCAGGCCAGCTGAGGCTAAAAGGAGAACTTGTCTCAAGAAAAGAAAGAAAGAAAAGAAAAAGAAAGAAAGAAAGAAAGAAGAAAGAAAGAAAGAAAGAAAGAAAGAAAGAAAGAAAGAAAGAAAGAAAGAAAGAAAAGGAAGTGTTAGATTTAGGAGGGATAGAAAGGAAGGAGTTTAAAGTTTAGAAGTAAGAGTCAGAGCCAGACCTGCAACAGGCAAGGAATGTGCTCCCTGGATTCATGAAGCATCCAGGACCTAGGTGAAGTCTCAGAGCAGTCATGCAAAGGGTGCAGTGTCTGGGTACCCCTTTGTGGCTCATAACAACCCTGTCGCCCCTCCCACTTACTGGCCTTTGAGCTGGTAGTCCCTGTTTCTCCCATGGGAGCGTGTCACCCAGACACTCAAAGCCACCACCAGCAACAGCAACAGCAGAGCCGCAGCACCCACCAGGCCCCCAACCAGCGCCCACCAGTGGATAGCCACCTCGCAGCGTGGGCCAGAGAACCAGTGAGCGTCTGTGGAGAAACAGCTAGGGAGAGATTACTACATAGGTCTCAGACAAGGTTGCATGCAGGTGCAAGGGACCTCATGGGCTAGGGTCCACCACCCTAGAGTAAGTGGACAGGACCTTTAAGGATTGAGTAGGTATATGGGAAGGTCTCCAAAAAGAGACAGTGAGGTGTGGTGACTCACATCTCTAATTCCAGAACTTGACAGGAGGCTTGGGAGTTCAAAGCCAGCCTCAGCTACATGGTTAAGAATTTGAGGCCAACCTGAACTACATTAAGACCCTGTCTCTAAAAAAAGCAGGACGGGCAGCTAGATGTATTGTACAGTTCCAGGGGCTCTAACATCCTCTTCTGGCTTCTACTGGCATTGCACACAGAGGTACACTTATGTACATGCAGGCAAAATACTCATACATATAAAATAAAAATAAAGAAATAAAATAATCCCAGCACTTGGGAGGCAGAGGCAGGCAGATCTCTGTGAGTTCAAGGCCAGGCTGGTCTACATAGTGAGTTCCAGGCCAGCTGGGGCTACAGGGAGACCCTGTCTCAAAAAGACCAATAAACAAATAATAAATAATAAAAATTTTTAAAAATTAAAAAGAGGCTGGGTATGGTGGTGCATGCCTTTAATCCCAGCACTTGAGAGGCAGAAGCAGGCAGATCTCTGTGAGTTTGAGATCAGCCTGGTCTACCTAGTGAGTTCCAGGACAGTTGGGACTACAGGGACAAAATAAGTAAATAAATAAAGATGATAGATAGATAGATAGATAGATAGATAGATAGATAGATAGATAGATAGATAGATAGATGATAGATAGATAGGACTAGCTAAATGGCTCAGGGGGGTAAAGGTGCTTGCTGTGCAAGCCTGACAAGGCAACCTGAGTTCCATCCCAAGAACCCACATAAAAGTGGAAGGAGAGAATAAACTCCACAAAGTTGTCCTCTGATCTCTTAGCAGCACCGGGTGCCCAACCATGTACGTCATGTACACACAAACGCACACAAAAAGTAATAAATAAAATTTAGGATCATCAAGACAGCTCAGTGGGTGGAGGTACCTGGACCCACATGTGGAAGGAGAGAACCGACTCCCAAAAGTTGTCCTCTGACCTCCACATGCATCATGTGACACACACACACACGCACACGCACACAAAATTTGAAAAATGAAATGTGATTTTTTTTTTTTGAGACAGTGTCTCTCTGTAGCCCCAGCTGTCCTGGAACTCACTATGTAGACCAGGCTGGCCTTGAACTCACAGAGATCTGCCTGCCTCTGCCTCCCGATTGCTAGGATTAAAGGCGTGTGCCACCACGCCAGGCAAAATGTAATTTTTTTAATTAAAATAAATAAATTTAAAAAGGAAAAACACAAAATAAAGTAAAACTTAAAAACCAAAAAAAGAAGCTGGGCGTCGTGGCATCTGTCTTTAATCCTAGCACTCGGGAGGCAAAGGCAGGCAGATCTCTGTGAGATTGAGGCCAGCCTGGTCTACATAGCTAGTTCCAGGCCAGATGGAGCTACAGGGAGGCCCTGTCTCAAAAAGGAATAAATAAATATTGAAAATAAAATAACCATAAAAGAAAAGGGGGAAGGAAGTAGGACTGGAGAAAGTGGACAGGACTTCTGGGAAGGGCATAGAGGTGGTGGGCGTGGCCTTGGGATGAGCATTGCGGAGTAGGAGGGGGCTATTGAATGGGGTGGGGTGTATTGAATGGGGCGGGACCTCACCGGCATTGGGGACCAGTCTTTTGTAGAAAACACTGTCCTGGTGGCAATCGATGGCACCGTCCACGCCAGGTGTGCAACTGGTGACACAGCGGAGTCTATTCAGCTCCACGGAAGGGAAGTAGAATTCTTCAAAGCCCTCGGGAGCCTCTCGGCGACAGATGACTGGGGGCGGAGACAGGGAGGGGATTACAGAAACTGGCTCCATTCCTTCTACTTGGGAGCCTGGCTTTGGCGACATATGGACAGGACATTCCAAGGGTGATATCCTGAGGCAGACCCCAATATTAGGTTGGGGGAAGGCACTTTGGGGTTCTCACCTTGCCTGATGGTGCTGGAGAACAGCTAGTAACAAAGGGCTCAGAAGGGGTCTGGAGATGCTCAGTGGGTAAATGGGCCTGCCTGCAGCCAAACTAACTTTGATCCCAGGGCCCCACATGATAGAAGGAGATAACTGGCTCCCTAAAGTTGTCCTCTGATTTCCACACATGTGACATAGCACATGGGTGCACACACACACACACACACACACACTAAAATATAAAATAATAATAATAATAATAGAGGGGGCAGAGCCCAGAAGGGTGAATAACACTGGCTTCCCCTGAAAGTCTCCCCTTCTCCCTAGGGAACTTCAATGGGTGGATGTTCTTGGTGGAAGTGTTCCCAGCCACCAGAGGCCACACAGTCCTTTGCCCCACCCTCACCTTCTGGGGTCAGCTCCTTCATGGTATTGTTCATCTTGATGGATTCAGGTTTAAAACACAGGGCTGCGGGAGGGAGGGACACACACAAGTATGGGGAGAGGGCCGGGCTTGGTGGCCCATACCTTTAATCCCAGCACTCAGGAGGCAGAGGCAGGTGAGCCTCTTTAAGATCAAGGCAAGCCTGGTCTACATAGTGAGTTCCAGGCCAGCTGGAGCTACAGGGAGATCCTGTCTCAAAAACAAAAAACAAAACTAGATACAGGTATGGAGAGAGGAAGTGAGGGCTCCCTCAGTGTCCCCACAGTGTGGAGGGGCCACCAGGGAACTGTCACCTTCTTCCCACCCCACCCTGAGTAGTCACATATCATCCGAGTCCTGGTGAGACCCTCCCCAGCCCCACATTTGACCCAGCTGAACATGGACTGCACCACTTCTCTCAGCCAGCTGGAGGAATTACAGGGCTGACCCCTAAGTCCCTAAAGGGCCCTGACTAAGCCAGAGCAAGCAGGAGTGTCTGCTCTGACCTCGGCCCCTTTCTCCAGCCTTGACTCACTCTGGCTGTCCCTACAGCTGTCCTGGATGGCAGTCTGCAGTTCCTCTTTCAATATGATCTTCACTTTTTCATACTCTTTCTCCAGCTGGAGGCTAAAGGTTAACTTCAGTAGGACCAGATAGTCCACCACGATGCTGCCGCTCCTGAGGAGCCAAGGGCGTTAGAGGGCACACAGAGGGAACAGACCCCTCCAAGGACCAGCCACAAGTGTCAGGAAGGAAAAGGGGGTGCAGGTTGTGATGTGAAAGGCCACATTCCTTTTGAGTGTATGTGTGCTGCATATGGGTGTGAGTACAGTTGTGCACAAGCATGACAGGTATGTATAGATCAAGGACAGAATTGGTCCCCAGGTGCCTTCCTCCCTTTGTTTGAGACAGGATTCCTCATTGGTCCAGAGCTTTGCCATCTCCCCAAGTCCCATATATGTCCATTTCAGAAGAGGTAAACCCCAGTTGCTCAGCCTGAGAGGGCAGGGCAAGGATTAAATTGACTGGGCATAGTGGCACATGTCTTTAATCCCAGCATGCAGGAAGCAGAAGCAGGCAGATCTCTCTGTGAGATAGAGGCCAGCCTGGTCTACACAGAGAGTTCCAGGACAGCTGGGGCTACAGGGAGACCCTGTCTCAAAAAAAAAAGAAGATTAAATTCTCTTCATATTGTATCAAGCCATCACCAAACCAGATACTCTCCTCTCCCCTCCTCCTCTTCCTCCCCTCTCCCCTCCCTTCCCCCTCCCACTCCCCTTCCTCTCCCCTCTCTCTCCCTTCCTTTCCCCTCTCCCTGTCCCTGTTTTTCTTCCTCACCTCTCCCTCCCCCTCTCCCCCATCCTTCCCACCAACAAGGATGAGGCACCACTCAAAGAGAGACCAAGTCAGCAGTCCGCCCCCTGCAAGTTCTGTGCAATCTCTCTTTAAAAGAAGTTTCATCTCCTACAGGAAAATCACCTCCAGAAAAAATGATCCCGAAAGTCCTTCTCAAGAAATTGCTTTGGATTTCCTTCTGCCTCTTTCTGTCTTTATAATATCTATCTGGTAATTCCAAAAGGAGGGATGAGTTCTCTAGCCTCCTTTTCCACCCTTTTCCTCCACCCCACCATGTTTCCAGCCCCAGAACGGTCTCCTACCTCAAGGACAGGATCTCCACACCCTGGAAGCCCTGCACGGTCCTGTAAATCTTCTGCATCTGAAATGCCAATGTTCTCAGGGCTCATGTCTGAATCCACAGGCCCGAGGGCACCCAGGGGCCCATGCCCATCTCCAGGGGAGGATCTGTAAATTCAGCTCTCCTCCCTGCTTACCTGATTCTGGAAGGTGTTACTGAAATCTTCGTAGACCTTGGAAGTGTTGTCTCTGAGGTCTGGAGAGAATTCCTGGTCCACAGATAACTCCATGCCCACTTCAGTATCCACTGTGTCTGTACACAGAACACCCAGCTCTGGTCACTTCCTCATCTGCCCCTGTCTGCCATCATCACCACCACAATCCCCTCAGTCACAGGCTTCTCCTCTGCCCTTCTCCATCATCCGTGAAGACCAAGGAACAGCAGGGGAAGAGCTTTTGCCTAGAATCCCCCAGTGAGGGGCTGGGGTGTGGCTCAGTGGTAGAGCACCTGCCTAGAATCCCCCAGTGAGGGACTGGGGTGTGGCTCAGTGGTAGAGTGCCTGTCTAGAATCCCCCAGTGAGGGGCTGGGGATGTGGCTCAGTGGTAGAGCACCTGCCTAGAATCCCCCACTGAGGGGCTGAGGGTGTTGCTCAGTGGTAGAGCACCTGCCTAGTGTTCCCCACTGAGGGGCTAGGCATGACTTGATAGTGGAGTGTCCCCAGTAAGAGTACAGGGATGTGGTTCAATGGCAGAGCTCTTGCCTAGCATGTGTGAGGTCATGGCCGGTAGATCAAGAGTTCAGGACCATTCACAGCTACATAGTTGAGTTGGAAGACAGCCTAGGGTACATGAGACAGTGTTCAAAGAAACAAATAGAAGGAAGTGATGGTGCACGCCTTTAATCCCAGCATTTGGGAGACAGAACAGGCAGATCTCTGTGAGGCTGGGCCACATAGGGAGTTCCAGTCCAGCTGGTACTACAGGGAGGCCCTGTCTCAAAAAGACCAAAAAGTATTTATTTATTTATTTATTTATTTTAATTAATTAATTAAAATAGATTGCTAAGTATGTGACGTTAATATGAGAAAATTAACCTGGACTATCAGAATGAGCTGACTCATCTCAAAGTTCCTTAACAATGGAAGAAGGAGCAGAAAAGGTCAGTTGACCAGAGAATAAAAAGTTTATGGAAGGATGACAGAGAGAGCCACACCTAGCCTTATGAGAGAGGCTTTGATTTAAGACACGGGAGGTTCTAGAAAACAGAAGCAGCAAGGAAAGGAACTCTTTCCCAGAGCCTCAGGGGAAAAAAAAAAACACTTGGACTTGAACCTGGTGACACCCCCATCTGATTTTGTGATAATTAATCTCCATTGTCAATGTGATAAGCTCTAGAATCGCATAGGAGACAAATCTCTGGGCATGTCTGAGAGGGAGTTTCTAGACTGGGCTGAGGAGGGAAGACCCATCCTGAATGTGGGCAGCACCATCCCATGGTTGGGGTCCTGGACTGAATACAAAGGAGAAAGTGAGCTGAGCACCAGCATTCATCTCTCTGCTTCCTGACTGTGGATGCCATGTGAGCAGCTGCCTCACACTCCTGCTGCCATGCCTTCCTGCCATGATGGACTGTGTCCTCAAACTGTGAGCCACATAAACCCTTAAGTTGTTTTTATTGCCAAGCATGGTAGCCCCAGCCTTTAATCCTAGCACTCAGGAGGCAGAGGCAGGAGGGTCTCTATGAATTTGAGGCCAGCCTATTCTACATAGCAAGTTCCAAGTCAGCATGGCTACACAGTGAGACCTTGTTTACACACACACACACACACACACACACACACACACACACACACACAAAGTTACTTTCATCAAGGATTTGACCACAAAAATGAGAAAAGTAAGCAATACAGATTTCTAATCTATAGAATTATGTTGTTCCAGCTGCTAGATCTATGGTCATTTCTTATGGCAACCTTTGGAGACTGATACAGTTCTGAGCAGAGGTCTAGGAGGAAGAATGAAGCTGCCTGGAGGTGAGGCGGAGACCTGGACAGCAGTGGGTGAGAAGTCAGCAATGGCGAAAGGACTGGAAGGGTGCTACAAAGTCCCTCCCATAAGGAGGAAGAAGAGAGCCTGTGGGTCTGGTAACTCACCTAGTTCTAACTGCTCCACTGGAAGCTCACAGAGGGAGCCATAGAAGGTACTGACGCAGAGACACTTGAGACCATCCCACGTGCCTCCGTTCTGGCATCTGACATTCGTATACTGACAGCTGTCTCCAGAGTAACCGGGAACACAAATGCAACCACCCTGTTCCCAGGTGCCACCATTAGCACAGGTACCTGGGAAGCCAACAAGAAGAGAGGCCCAGCTAGGATCCAACCTTGGTAAACAGGGAAGGAAGGGACAGAAACAAACAAAACAGGAAGCAGGGAGATCCAACCTGGGGCGGTGGTCGAGTCTGATTGTGAAGTCATCTGCGTAGTGGTTGAAGTTGATCGTAGTGAAGTAAGGGTGGTGAGGGATTTTGTGGTGGCCAGTGGTGTCTCTGGAATCCTGGTGGTGGGTAGGATGGGATGGGTTGCCTTGCTTGAAGTTGTGATAGTTGGAAGACCGTTGCTTGGTTTCATGGTGGGTGGAACACTAATGGAGCCAGACATATTGGGGGTGATGATAGTGGTGGCACTCAACCAAGTCTCAGTGGTGGACACTGTGATGCTTGTCAAAGCTGGGTCTGTAGCTGTTTCCCTAGAGCCAGTAGAGCTGGACACATCAGTGATGATGTTTGAGGAATCTGTTTCTGGAGTCACTGAAGAAGGGTCCATATATGTAGGGAGAATGGTTCTTGTACTGGTAGGACTAGAAGTGGTGACCATTTCGGTGGTGGAGGGAAGGACTGAGAATGGGGTGATGGGCATGGATGTCACTTCAATACCAGGATTGATGGTAACACATGGAGTTGTGGAAGAGGTAGGGACTATGGTGATGGTGATAGTTTCTGGGCAGGGTGTAGTGGAAGGAGGAGAAATATAAGAGAATGGAGTTGTTTCAGTATGAGCTGTGGTAGGTGATGAGATGGTTGGAGAAGTTCTGGTAGTGGAGGAGGAAGGAGGAAGGGATGTCATGGCAGAAAAGACTCTAACCTCTGTGCTGGAGATATGGGAAAGGGTACAAAGAGAGTTGGTGGTAGTACTCAGACTTGGAATGGTACTTATGGAAGACAGAGGAGAGGACATTGTGACTGTGGGTGTTGAAGAGGAGATCAAGGAACCAAAGGAAGTCATAATTGCATTTGTACATGTGCTCCCCCTGATGGGAGACTCTGTTGTGCTGGACTCACTTGATGAAGTATGTGAAGTTAGAAAGGTGGGGGTGGACACAGAGGTTTTAAGAGTGGACATGCCAGTGCTTGAACTGGGGACATAGGACACCGACAACTCAGGACTAAAGTCTGATGGTGGACTGACAGTATGAAAAGAAGAGAGGGAGGAATCAGTACTTCCTGAAGACGTACTAGTCAGTAGAGGAGAGCTTTGGGTTCCTGGCTCAGAGGCAAATGTAGAAGTTGATACTGATGACGACGTATCAGGTGAAACTGAAAAACTCATCCCAAGGGAACCCGTTGGGGTGTTTCCAATGACTGGGACAGTAGCTGTCACAATGGGGGTGATGGGATGGGTTGTGCTGATAAGTGGTACCTCTGTGTTGTGGATAATGGAAGAAGATGGGATGATGTTGGTATGGGTTGGTATTGTACTAGAAAGTGAGTGGGTTATTGTGGTAGTTGCCAGGGTAGGTGTACCACTGTTGCCTGTAGATGAGGAAGGGGGAGCTTCAACTGTGGTTGTGATGTCTGCACTAGGAGATGAGTTTACAGATGTGTTTCTAAGGTACCGTAAGTGTTAGGGTGTGAGGAGGTGGCAATTGTGATGGTCTGTCAATGGAGAGGTCGTTAGAAGAAGTGGAAGAGATCCTAGAGGGACTCAGGGTGGCTGTGATGATCAAGGGTGTGTAAGCTGTCATAGTTGTGTCTGAGGTGGGCCAAAATGGCCAGGGTGTCAGGGAGGTGCCCAGAGTTGATGTGTCTGTGGTGGGAGTAGAGGCAGTGCTACATGACGTGGGGTACGTGGCAGCAGAACTAGGGAAGGCAAACTGAGGTGTGGCTGTGGATGTAGCAGAAACAGAGAGTGAGGTCATCAAGGTAGACAGAGGTGTGATATATATGCTTTCAGTGGTGACCGGTGGAGAACTTGAGACAGACATAGAGGATAGAGCCCAACTTGTGGGAGATGTCAGCACATTGGTGATGGTGTAAGGAGACCTCATGGATGTCCCAGATGTGAGTATACCTGTGGTGGTGATTGGAGAAGTGATTGGAGGAATTAAGGTTGTTTCTGTCCTAAGAGGTTCGGTATGGAGGTCTGTGGTAGGAGTCAGTGTGGTTTTCCCAATGGGTGTGACAGAAGGAGTGGACAGGGTGGGCTGGCCTGTTCCTGTCACTGCTGAAGTAGTAAAAGGCAGTTCTGTAGATGTGGTGACTGTGAGTGTGTTGGTGGCTGTGGGTGTTGGGGTAGATTCAGCTGTTGAGTGCACTGTGTGAGGGATGGTTGGAGCAGAGGGCACACTGTCCATCTGTGTGGTCCCAGCACTGCTGGCAGAGATGGAGGAGGAGAATGCAGTTGTCACTGGAATGCTTGTGACGAGGGGGTGTTCTGGGGTATTTGCTGTCACAATAGAAGCAGTGGTATGAGAGGTCATGACATGTGGTGTGTCTGTGTCCTGGGTGATGGGGGGAAATGGGATGAAATGGGTGTGGGTTGGTGTCATGCTGGAAGCTGTGTGGGTTGAAGGGATGTCTGATGCTGTGGTCAAGGGATCCGTGTTGCCCATCGATGAGGAGGTGAGAGCTGTGTCTGTAAAGGTGGGAACACCTGAGCTACATGAAGATAGAATTGTAGATGTGGATATCTCCAGGGTACCAGACGTGGTGGGAAGTGAAGAGGTGGCAGTTGTGGACGTGCTGTCAGTAGGATAGCTGTTTGGGGTGGTGAGGCTGGGGGTGCTGTGAGAGGGAGTCAGGCTGGTTGAGGTGACCAAGTATGTGGCAGCTGTCTTGCTTGTTTCTGAAGTGAGCATAGAAGGCCAAGTGGGTGTGACAGAGGTGTCAGAGATCAAAATGGCTGTGGTGGAGGTAGGTGAGGTGGCATGAGAGAGGGAGTGTGTAACAGAGTTGGTGGACGAGTTAAGGAAGATGATGTGAGATGTAGCTGTAGTTGTCGCATAGGGAGTTGGGAGTGTAGTCACTGAGGCAGGTAATGGGATGGTTTGCATAGTGCCAGTGGTGACTGGTTGTGTGCTTGGGATAGACCCAGAGGACAGAGCCTTGCTTGTTGGTGAAGTCAACACATTGGTGGTCACTGGAGGAAAGGTGATGAATGTCTCAGAAGTCAACATGGGAGTGACTGAAGAAATGATCGGTAGAGTTGAGGTGGTTGCTATCATGAGAGGTTCTGTAGGATGGCCTATGGCAGGAGACAGTGTGGTTTTCCCAGTGGATGTAGCAACCTGGGTGGAAAAGGTGGGCTGATCTGTTCCCGTCACTGCTGCAGTGACTGGAGATGGTTCTATAGATAGGGTTGTTGTGAGTGTGTTGCTGGTTATGCCTGTTGGGGTGGATTTAGCCATTGTGTGGACTGTACTGGTCATGGTTGGAGCAGAGGGCAGGGTGTCCATCTGTGTGGTCCCAGCACTGCCGGCAGAGATGGAGGAGGAGAATGCAGATGTGACTGGAATGCTTGTGGCTAAAGGACTTGGGGTGTTTGCAGTACTTGATAGGCAGATGCCACACTGGAAGTGGTGGTATAGGTTGTGGTGGCAAGTGGTATTTCTGTGTTTGGGACATTGGAGGAATAAGAGCTGAAGTTGGTGTGGGTTGGTGACATACTGGAGACTGTGAGGGTGGAAGACGCACCTGTCATGGTAACCAAGAGATCCGTGTTTCCCATAGATGAGGAGGTGAGAGCTGTGTCTGTGATAGGGGAGATGCCTATACTAGGTGAAATCTGGATTGTGGATGTGAGTGTCTCCAGGATACCAGAGCTAGTGGAAGATGAGGAGGTGACAACTGTGGACATTCTGTGAGTGTTGTAACTGTCTGAGGATGTGAGGCTAGGAGTACTGTGGGAGGGGATCTGGGTGGCAGTGGTGACCAAGTGTGTGGTAGCTGTCTTAGATGTGTCTGAGGTAGCCAGAGAGAGCCAGGGGATGGGAGAGGTGACAGGAGTCAGTGTGCCTGTGGTGGGTGTAGGAAAGGAGCTACCCAATGTCAGGAGTGTTCCAGAGCTGGTTGAAGAACTGAAGGAGGTGGCCTGAGGTGGAACTGTAGATGTGACATCAAATGTTAGGGGTGTGGTCACCAGGGTAGACAATGGGATGAGGTGACTTGTGCTGGTGGTGACTGGCTGTGTGTCTGGTACAGTCCTAGAAGCCAGAACCCTAGAGGTTGGTGGTGTCAACATGTTAGTGGTCAAAGGAAGAGAGATGCTGGGTGTCCCAGATGTGAGTATATGTGGGGTGGTGACTGAAGAAGTGATTGGCAGAACTGACGTTGGTTCTGTCATTTGAGAATCTATAGGGAGGTCTATGATAGGAGTCACTGTGGTTTTCCCAGTGGGTGTGGCAGAAGGAGTGGACAAGGTGGGCTGGTCTGTTCCTGTCACTGCTGAGGTAGTAAAAGGCAGTTCTGTAGATGTGGTGACTGTGAGTGCGTTGGTGGCTGTGGGTGTTGGGGTAGGTTCAGCTGTTGAGTGCACTGTGTGAGGGATGGTTGGAGCAGAGGGCACACTGTCCATCTGTGTGGTCCCAGCACTGCTGGCAGAGATGGAGGAGAATGCAGTTGTCACTGGAATGCTTGTGGCAAAGGGACGCAGGGTGTTTTCAATACGTGTGAAGGTAGCTGTTCTACCAGGAATGATATGAGTTGTGCTCATAATAGGTGTTGTTTCTGAGTTCTGGAGGGTTGAGGAAGATGGGATGGTGGTGGTGTGGGTTGCAGACACAGAATCTGTGTGGACTGAGGTGATGTCTATTGTGACCTGAGGGACAGTGATGCTTGTAGATGAAGTAGTAAGAGCTGTGGCTGGTGTGGTAGAGATGCCTGCACCAAGTGAAGCCAGGGTTCTGGATGTAACTGTCTCCATCACACCAGAAGAGGTGGGGGGTAAAGTGGCAGTGGTAAAGGTCCCATCTGTGGGCAAGTGGCTATTTGAGACTGTGGAGCTGGGAGTGGTGGGCACGGTGGTCTGGGTGGCAGGGGTGACCAAGTGTGTGGTAGCAGTCTTTGTTGTGTCTGAGGTGGGCAGAGAAGGCCAGGTGGGCATGGGAGAAGTGTCAGGGGCCAGTGTGTCTGTAACGGACATAGAAGAGGAGATATGTGATATCAATAGTGTCACAGCATCAGTTGAAGAACTGAAGGAGGTGGCCTGGGATGGAGCTGTAGACCTGGTATAGGTAGGTGGGGGTGTGCTTAGTGAGGTGGATAATGGGGTGGTGTATGTATTGCCAATGGTAACTGTATTCTTGAGACAGGCACAGAAGACACCATAGTGGTAAGTGTGGCAGCACATTGCTTACTGAAGGATAGGTATTTGATGTCCCTGAAGTCAGTGTATCTGAGGGTATGATTGAAGACGTGCCCTGGGAAGCGTCTGTAATTTTTGTCATGACAGAATTTGTAGGAAGGTCTGTGGTAGTAGTTGAAGGTGGTTCTTTAAATGTGGTGGTTATGAGTGAGTTGGTGGTCATGGGTGTTGGGGTGGATTTGGCTATTGTGTGGAGCATAGGGGTGATGGTTGGAGTTGAAGCTGTATGTTCTGTCTGTGTGTTCCCAGAACTGCTATCAGCCATTGAGGTGGGCAATATAGTTGTGACAGGAATACTTGTAGCAAGAGAATGTGTAAAGGTGTCTCTAGTGCTTGTGAAAGCAGCTGCCATACTGGGTGTAGCGGAACGGCTTGTACTCAAGAGTGTTGTTGTGTCTATGTTCTTGAAAAAAGGGGAAGACTGGATGATACTGGTGTGGGTTGCAGACACACTGGAGTCCATGTGTGTTGAGGTGGTAATTGAACCACTGAATTGCCTATAGATGAGGAGGGGAGATTTTTGGCTCTGATGGTGGTGATTCCTTCACTACGAGAAGATGGGGTTATAGATGTGAGTGTCTCCACAGTATCATGGATGGTGGGAGGTGAGGATGTAGCAGTTGTGGGTGTGCTATGAGTGTAGTAACTGTTCGAGGTTGTAAGTCTGAGGTTGGTTATATTGACCAAGTGTGTGGTAGTGGTCATGGCTTTTTCTGAGATGGGCCAAGTGGGCATGACAGAGGCGTCAGGACTCAGTGTGTGTATGGTGGTAGGAGAGGGGATATCTGACGTGGAGTGTCCAACACTGTTAGTGGGTAAACTGGGGGAGATGACCTGAGACATTGCTGTAGATGTGCCATTGGTAGTTGGGAGTGTGGTCATTAGGATAGATAAAGGGGTGGTGTGTATAAGGCCAGTGGTGACAGGTTGTGTGCTTGGGATAGGCATAGAGGAAGAATCCCTCATCATGGATGATGTCAGCACTTTGGTATCTGTTGGGGAAAAGATGCTGGGTATCCCAGAAACCCACATATCTGTGGGGGCAACTGATGAAGCAATCAAGGGAGTCGCAGTCATTTCTGTCTTGAGAGATTCTGTAGGAAGGGCTGTGGTGGGATTCAATGGGGGGGTCTCCTGTAGATGTGGCAGCAATGGTGGGGAAAATGGGCTGACCTGTTCCAATCATGGCTGTGGTAGTGGCAGGTGGCTCTATAGATAAGGTTGTTGCAAGTGTGTTGGTGGTCATGGGTGTTGCAGTGGATTCAGCTGTCATGTGGAGTATACTGGTGATGGTTGGCGCTGAGGGCACACTGTCCACCTGTGTGGCCCCAGAACTGCTGCCTGCCAGAGAGGACGAGAATGCAGATGTGACTGGGATGCTTGTAGCAAGAGGATATGTTAGACTGTTTCCAGTATTTGAGAGAGTAGCCGTCACACTGGAAGTGGTGGTATGGGATAGGTTAACAGGTGATATATCCATGTTCTTTGTGGTGGGAGACAATGGGATGAAATTGGTGTGGGTTGCTGATGTGCTGGAAGCTGTGTGGGTTGATGTGGTGTCTGTCATCATGCCCCATGGACCAGTGTCACCCACAGATGAGGAGATGAGACTTGTGGCTGTGATAGTAGGGATGCCTTTAGTAGGTGACAAAGCTTCAGATACAAATGTCGTACTGGAGACTGACATTGTAGGGGCTGCGTTTGCTGACTTGACACTTGTCATCACAGACACAGAACTTGTTGTGCCAGTAGGTGTGTGGCTAGTAGCTGTTGATATTGTCTTAGGGATGTCTGGACCATGTGACAGTGTGGCTGTGTGTTGGGATATCACCACAGGACCTGAGGAATTGGACACTGGGATCACCTCAGGTGTGAGTGTTGTGAATGTGGAGTTAATATCAGAAGGTGTAGAAGGTGGAGATGTTACCATGTTGGTGGTCACTGAAGTAGCCATGTTGGATGTGGAAATGGTCACCATACTAGTTGATATGGTTGGGAGAGAAGACGTCTTTTCTGTGCTCCTCATTTCCAGGGATGGCTCTCCTGTAAGAGTGGTTGTTTCCATAGAAACTGAAGCAACATGTGTTGATAGATGGGTGGAGCTGAGGAAATGAGTGGAAGCAGTTTCTGTTTTGAATGGATTTCCTGGTATGGTCAAGATAGTGGTGTTGAGTTGGGCACTGTTATCAGTTACTGTTGTTAAGACTGTTTTCCTAGGAGTTAGAGAGGAGACAGCAGCAGGAAGAGAAGTAGCTCCTGGAGTGAAGAACATTGTGCTGCGGACCACTGTTGGGGTCAAGGTGGACATTTCTATGTTCCCCTTGGTAGAGGAGGTCAGAGTATCTTGGGTTGTGTGTGTGACTGACACAGAAGAGGGTGCGGACATCATTGTGGGTGTGTTCCCTATATTGGTGGCAGTAGAAACAAAGGTCATGGCTGAGGTCACTTTCCTTGACTCAGGAACCATAGGGATGAGGGTTGTCCCTAGCTTGTCTAGCTTGGGAGTGGTGGTGTAAGAGCTGGTGAGGGGCACATGGCTCATGGTTACACAGGTGGTGGTTGGGTAGGTGGTGGCAATTGTAAAGCTAGATGGGTATGTGCACTCTGTAGTGGGTATGTAGACCAAGATGGTAGGGGGAGTGGTCTCAACCTTGATGACAAACTTGGACATTGGGATTGTCGAAGTGTGAAGACTGACTGGATATTTGAGCGATGTTTCAGAAATGGGTTTAAAGAGTCTGGGCATGACAAGGGTCCTGGGTGTGTGTTCACCATTGCCAGCAACTGAAGAAGCCAGTTGGTGGGGCCTGAGTGGCCACAGAGGTTCACCTATGGCACTCGGAGCATTGCCAAGAGCAGCGCGGGCTGCTTCCACACCGGGCAAGTGAGCGTTAGAGGTGGATGCAGTCAAGGATGGAGTTCCTGTGTTGACAGGAAAACAGAAGACTCCATGGGTGAAGTCATAAGTCATTCCATCATCATCACAGCCCATGGGGAATTCCCTTTCTAAAAAAATTTTGTTTTATTTTTAAGTGTATGAGTGTATTCCTGCATGTATGTAAGTGCATCTATGTGTGCAATGCCCATGGAGGACAAAAAGGGCATTGGATCCCCTGGAACTAGAGTTATGGGATGGCTGTTAGCTGCCATGTAGGTGCTGGGAACTGAACCCAGGTCCTCTGGAAGAGCAGCCAGTGCTCTCAGCTGTTGAGCCATCTCTCAGGCCCCACTCCCTCACTCTTTGGATTCAAGCCACAAAGAGTAGGTTGTACCCAAGGAAGGCAATTTGGAGATGGGGAGCTTTTGAGTCTGTTCAGGGGGCAGTGGGCAGAAGCAACCCTCAATGCTTCTCTGGTCAAGCTGAGCATCCAAGTTCAACAGAGGCTCCCTCTTCCTCCTTCCTTTTCTTCTTTTTCTTCTTTTCTTTTTTTTTAGACAGGATCTTCCTGTACCCCTGGCTGGTCTGGAACTCACTATGTAGACCAGCTCAGGGTGTCAGGTGCCTTCCTCTACTGCTCTCCACCTTATTGCCTAGAGGCAGGTTCTCTCACTGACCCGGAAACTCAGTGTTTCAACTAGGCAACCTGACTGGACAGGAAGTTCCCAAGACCCACCTGTTTCTGCTTCTCAATGCTAGAGTTACAGTCCCACACAGCCATGCCCAGTTTTTTAGATGAGTGCTGGGGATTTGAACTCTGGTCCTCATGATTGTAGAGCAAGCACTCTTATCACTGAGCCATCTCTCCAGGTCCCTGACTTTATTTTGAGACAGGGTCTCCTGTAACCCAGGCTGGCCTCCAACTTACTATGTAGCCCAGGATGAACTTGAACCCCTGATCATCCTGTGTCTACCACAGGCAAGCTCCACCATGCCTGGTTTCATGGGCTGCTAGGGATCAAATCCAGGGCTTTGAGCATGCTAGGCAAGCACTCTGCTAACTGAGCCACATTCACAATCTGTTGCTCCCTTTTTCTTACCACATTCATCTTTCTTTCCCTGTTCTTTCCTCTCTACCTGTTAACCTGGAATCCTCCGGTCATCCTGGTTCTCAGCCCCACCTTTTAACCAACCCCTGCCCCACCCACCCAAACCAAGATACCTCTAAGCCTGGGCTGGGAGATGCACCACACCATAGAAACAAGAAAGAGGACCAAGGAGGGAAATCTGGAGAGGGACCATCAAGAGAAGAAGACCCAGGTGTGGTCACGCATGCCTTTAATCCCAGCACTTGGAGGGCAGAGACAGGCTGATCTCTGTGGGTTCGAGTCTAGCCTGGTCTACATAGTGAGTTCCAGGCCAGCTGGACTACAGGAAGACCCTGTCTCAAAAAGGAAATGAAGAGAGAGAGAGGGAGAGAGAGAGGGACAGAGAGAGACAGAGAGGGAGGGAGAGAAACAAAAACTAACAATCTGTTGAGAATGAGGGGTGTGAAGGGAGAACCACGCAGAGATGTGGAGGGACAAGGAAGAGGAAACTTCCAGAAAGAGATATCTGTGCTGGAAAGCATGAGATCTATACACCTTATAAGGTTTAGCAGTGAGTATTAATCACAAAAATAAACATTTTATATAGTGATTCTGCCAGGCCACTGGATTAATTAGTGAATGAATATGAAGTCTTTCTTTTATACATTTATTTATTTGTGTATATTTATGTGCATGTATGGAGGTGCATGTGTCACAATGAGCATGTACTTTTGGGAATCGGTTCTCTCCCTCCACCATGGGTCATGGATATCGAACTCAGATCATCAGACTGAGCAAGTACCTCTGCCTGATGAGCCATCTCACTGGCCCAACTAACCCTTTCTTTTTCTCTCTCTCTTCCTCCCTCCTTCTTTCCCTCTCTCCTTCCTTCTCCCTCCTCCTCCCCTTCCCCCTCCTCCATCTCTCCTCCCCCCAAGCTGTCAATCACAGCTAAGGAACTCTTGATCCCCCTGCCTCAGTCTCCAAAGTGCTGGGATAACAAGTGTGCACCACCATGTCCAGCTTGGACCCTTTCATCCATTACACATAATCGACCCATTTTATAGATGGTGGCACTGAAGATTGGGCAGCCATAGCCAGAGCAAGCAGGAAGCACCCCTACCTACCCCAGCTTTGGTATCTCTGGGTGGAGACCCAGTACATCTCATCCTGAAAACTGGGGTGTCACTTCTCAACCTAACTGGGGGTGGTGGACAGAAATTATGAGTTCAGGATTCAGGCTAAGTCCCTTTGAGCCAAGGCTGTGGCCCATGGGGGAGTGAGAAGGTGATCCAAGGGCTCTGAGTTGGGGTGCTCTAGAGTTGGAATATGTCAGGACCAAGCACTAAAAGGGCAGAGAGGAGGGAAGAACATGGGAATGTGGGGTCCTGAGACATGGGTCCCATCCTGGGTAGTCTTGGGGCTACCCTTTGTTTTTCTTTTTGTTATTTGCTTTGCTTTGGGGCCTGAGATTCAACCTGGAGCCTAACGCACCCTGGATAAGCACTCTGCCACTGAACTATGAGTCTCTCCAGTCCTCCAAGAGCTGCAGGTAAAGACCCACATGTGGGTAAAGCACAGTGGAATTCGACTTCCCAGCCCTGGCCCTGGAGATAACTATGCCCAAAACAGAGGCTCTTGAGATGCTAACTGGAGGGGAGGGGGGTAAAGGGAGAGTGGGGAAGGAGAGGGCAAGAGAGAGAAGAGTGGAGAGAGGGGGAGGGAGAAGAGAGAGTGGGAGAACGGAGGGCAAAGATGCAGAAGGGTGAGGGGGGCGGAGAAGGAGCGAGGAAACCAGGTGTGTCCTGCCAGCACTTACTCAGGAGGCAGAATCAGGAGGATCTCTGTGAGTTCAAGGCCAGCCTGGTCTACATAGTGAGTTCCAGAACAGCTGGGGCTACAGAGGAACCCTGTCTCAATAAATAAATAAATAAATAAATAAATAAATAAATAAATAAATAAATAATAAAGTAAGTAAGTAAGTGGGGCCATCACAGGTAAAGGCACTTGCCACCAAGCCTGATGACCTGAGTTCAATCCCTGGAACACACATGGTAGAAGGAGAGAACAGATTCCCATAAATTGTCCTCTAACCTCCACAGGCATACACACAAGTGCATGCATACATGTTCACACACCCACACTGTTACACATATACATACATACAAAATAAGTGTAATGAAAAATATTAAAAATAAATAAGATGAGGCAGGAGAGAGAAAAGAGAGGAGGTGAGAAGAAAGGAGAAAGAAAGAGAGAAAGGAGAATGTGGAGAGGAAAAAGAGAGAGAGGAGAGGCAGCCAAATGCAGTAGTTACATGCCTTTAATCCCAGCAGTTGAGGCAGAGGCAGACGGATCTCTGTAAGATTAAGGCCAGCCTGGTCTACATAGCAAATTTCAGTCGAGCCAGGGAACAGAAGGAAAGAGATAGGAAGAAGGAGAGAGAGAAAGGGAGGGGAGAGGGAGAGAGAGGGAGCACAGATGGCAGGACGGGGAGAGATCTTCCTGACCTGAGCACAGGGGTTGCCAGGAGACCACACAGTGGTGGCAGCAGCAGCGGGGAGGGCCCAGAAACAGAGTCCAGAGAAGATTCACAGCACTGTTGCAAGAGATCACTGCACCCTCAGGATGCAGATGCAACTGCCAGAACCCTGCAGCCCTCTCAGGGCAACTGACTCAGCATGTCTTCTCCTCCCACCTATCCTCTGTAACCAGAGATCAGAGAGACCTCTCCTCCACCTGCTCTATAAGCCTCTAAGCCAGGCTGCCCAGGCCTCTCCTGGAATATCCAGAGAGTCTGTCCAGCCCCTCTTCTCCACACGGTTCCTCCTGACCTGTGTCTCCTAGAGAGGCCTTGGGGAGCCAGGGGAGGATGAACAGCAGCGAAATGGGCACATCAGACTGAGAGCAGAGCTGGCTCCAGGACTGAACAGAGGCCAGGACAGAGTCGAGAGTGCACCACAGTGGCACCTGGCCCCAAACAGTGCTGTGTTTTTCTGTCCTGGGCCTGAAGGCTGAGCAGTTTCACTTTGCACTCCTCAGCCTCCCTCTCTTCTCCCCCTACCCGGACCTCAGCGCCATGGAAAGGGAGGGGATAGGAAGCTAGGGCATGCCTGGGAGATACCAGGTAGGAGAGCCCCGGCCCCCACTGCCCTATTCCCAAGGACACTGGCCTTTCCTCTACAGTCTCCCATGGAGGATAAACCTGGGTGAAGCCCTCAGAGTCAGTCCTGCAGCTTGGGTCTCCTCTGCCCTCTCTCCATCCAATACTGTCAGCTCTGGGGCTGTAGACTCCATAGCGAGTAAAGCAGTCCACCCCGAAGTCATCTCATTTGAAGCCTTGGGCTTGGTCCAAATAAAGGAAAGACAACTAGCCACAGAAACAAGTCAAAACTACAGGTTTTCTGATTGATTGATTGATTGATTGATTGATTGATTGATTGATTATTTATTTATTTATATTTATTATCTATCTATTTATTTGCTTTGAGACCAGGTCTTGCTGTAGCCTTAGCTGGCCTGAAACTCAATGTAGACCTGGCTAACCTTGATCTCACAGAGATCTGCCTGTCTCTGCTGGGATTACCAGCATACCAGCCACACATTTAACTCTGATAGCAACGGTACAAAGAAAAACTCCTCAGATCCAGCCCATAGGACTTGTTAGAGTTCCTTTAAGAAGCCAGTTTGTTGAGCTGGGGAGATACTCAGTAGGTAAAGTGCTTGTCTAGTAAGCCTGAGGATCTGAGTTCAGATCCTTAGTACCCTTGTAAAAAGCCA